GTAAACATGAATATCAAACGATCAGACAAGGCAACAAACAACATTATAACTCATATGTACGTATTTAAAGATCAACGAAATGATCAACATAAGAACAAGAGAAAAAATATATATAATTTATGGAACATTTAAGTGGCGGTAGTAGTTAGTCGACGATGGCGGAGTCTAGAAGATTGGTTTGGTTTAGTTTTTAGCTGTAAGCTGGTTGCATGTTTGGTTATAGTAAAAGTGTTAGTCGTCTTGCTTTTAACTGACTCATTTTGTTCTCATGAATTTTAAAAGCTTTTTTTCCCTCAATTTTGATTAAAAACTAAAATAAAAAGCTGCTGAGTCACTTGTTAAAAAATATCTTTATATTGAAAAATCTATTGAAATTTTATATTTACCACTCTTAATGATTGGTATGTGTGACGAATTTTGGTATTTTTGCTGCTTGCTGTGTAGTGTAGCTTGAAGGGGGAAATTTGTACGTATTTTAGCGCTTCTTTTTTAAAGGGAAAGTATTTTTTATAATTTTTATTATTAGAAGGTTTTGTTGATTTTTAATAATATGCAAATATGTTAAGAAGCTGTTTACAGTTTTCGTTTTTATTAAATGATGATTTTATTCAAAATAGAAATTCTTTGTATAATTTTTTGAAACGAGTTTAGTTTTGTTAATAAACTTACCTAAAGTTTTGAATATTTAGTAAAAAATTTAATTAAACATACCTGAAAGAAAAGAAGAAAATATAAAATTTTATTAGTACAGTTTTAGGCAAATGAAGATATGAATTATAAGGAATTCGGATACAATATGTAGTTTAGAAGCCATAGTGATCATAGTTATACTCTTATTAGTCCTAAGTCTATAATATGTTTAGTCCAGAGACTATAATTCCCGTATTCCAGAGACTTTAGTTTTGGACTATAGAGGCTGCAGAACTATACAGACTACAGCCTCTGAACTATAGAGACTATTGTCTATGGACCATTAAGGCTATAATCTCAGGAATACAGAAACTATTTTCTCTGGACTATTGAGTTTTTAGACTATAGGAACTATAATATCTTAATTCTATAGACTATAGTCTTTGGACACTATAGATTATGGAGACTATAGCCTATGGACTAAAGACTCTGGACTATAGAGACTATATTCTCTGAACTATAGAGACTACAGTATCTGAACTATAAAGACTATAGTCCCTAGACTATATAGTACAGACTACAGCCTCTCTACAGTCTCTGAACTTTAGAGACTATAGTCTATAGACCATTAAGGCTATAATCTCAGGACTATAGAAACTATTTTCTCTGGACTATAGAGTTTTTCGACTATAGAAACTATAATATCTAAATTCTATGGCCTATAGTCTTTGGACTCTATAGATTATGGAGACTATAGATACTATAGTCTATGGACTATAGACTCTGGACTATAGAGACTAAAGTCTCTGGACTATAAAGACTATAGTCTCTGAACTATAGAGATTACAATCTCTGTACTATATAGACTATAGTCCCTGGACTATAGATACTATATTTTTTGGACTATATTAACTATAGTCTCTGGACTATAGAGACTATAGTCTCTGAACTATAGAGACTATAGTCCCTGGACTATAGAGGCTACAATATCTGTACTATAGAGATTAAACAATAAATACTAAAGTCTCTTCATTAAAGAGGCAATATAGTAGTATGTGGACTATAGAGACTATAGTATAGTTTCTGGAATATAGAGACTATACTATAGTCTATCGACTATAGACACTACCATCTCTGTATTATAGAGACTAAACAATAGATATTAAAGTCTCTGGATTAAAGAGACTATAGTCTCTGGACTATAGTATCTAGACTTTAGAGACTATAGTATCAGGACTATTTAGACTGTGGGGACTATAGTTTCTGGACTATAGAAACTTTAGTCTCTGACCTATGAAAAGGATTATATAGACTGTAGTATACGGATTATACTTTAGTCTTTGAACTATTGTGTTAATATTCCCTGGACTATAGATTCTGAAGTCCCTGTATAGTTTCTAAGCTAAAGAGACTATAATTTCTAGACTATATTAAATTCCCTGTCTCAGTGAGTCTATGACATTGTACTACTTGCCATAAACACATTTTATTATGTATCATTTCACCTAATTACCTTCCCACAACTTCCAGAATCTTCCAACTTCATTAAGATTCTTAGTAAAACGCTTCTTTCATTACGTTAAAAAAATAAAAATTTCACACAATTTTCTATAATTTTCCTTCATTGTCTGGTCTACAACGCAAGAAAAAGAACATCTAATTCCCACGTTTTCTTTAGCATTTCGCATCTATTGTATTCTTTACAATACTCTTCAGATCTCTTCAACCTTGACCGAATTCATTATTTTAAAATGATCCAATGCAAACACCTTTTAAATCACCACCACGTAAAGCTAAAATAAACAATGCACCTTCTTAAACTAACATTTTTCCTTAGGGGTCTTATAAACAATCTCTCCCAAATAAATGCTCTTGAAGTAGTCACATACACATAAGAATGATAGTTCCACATGATGAATTCATAATATAATGCAGTATGCAAACAGGTACTTTTACGAAAAATAAAACCGGTTACTTGTTTAATGAGAGAATTTAAGAACCCAGAGAAAAGAAAACACAACAAACGATAAGTGATGCTTAAAGTAATAACAAATCATTTAAGATTTCTCAAGTCATGCAACACGAAAAAAATGCAAATGTTCGAAAGGTGAAGATGAAACGAAATGCACAAAACAAATGTAGAAAAAACAAAACAAAAAGACGTTTAAAAGAGGTAATAAACACGTAGTTTGAGGTGCAAGTTGAGAACACAAGTAACTGTGAAGAAAACAGCTGATGAGAAATATAATAAACAAGAGCTTAAAAGTAACAACAACAACAGCAACTACATTATAACAGCAACAATAACAACGTTATTAGTGTGATATATACAAGCGGGTAACTGTTAGTAACAACGGGGTAACCAAAGTAACTGATGGTGAGTAACGTTGTTGCATTGAGCGAACGATTGAACAGAAAATGTAAATAAATAAACAACTGAATAAAAGTGGGTTTTTTGTTTAACATTTATGGTTATTGGAATGATCGAAATATAAAGGAATGAAATCATTGAATACTATAGAGACTAAAGCCTCTTGAATACAAAGACTGTAGTCTCTGGAACACAGAGACTATAGTCTCTGGACTATAGAGACTGTAGTCGCTGGACTATAGTCTCTTGACTATAGAGTCTGTAGTCTTTGGACTATAGAGACAATAGTTTCGAGATTATGGGCTATGGACTACAGTCTCTATAGTCTTAGGACTATAGAGACTATAGACTTTAGATTACAGAAATTATAGTCTTTGAACTATAGTCTCTAGACTCTAGAATACAGAAACTATAGTCTCTGGATTATAAAGACTATAGTCTCTGAACTATATATAATATAGATTCTGGACTATAGAGTCTGTTGTCTTTGGACTATAGAGTGTATAGTCTCAAGATGGAAACTATAGTCTTTGGACTATAGATACTACAGAGTCTTTATTATAGAGTCTTTGGACTATAGTTTCTACACTGTTGAGACTGTAGTCTCTGGGTTATATAACCTATAGTCTCAGGACTATATAAACTATAGTCCCTGGACTATAGAGATCATAGTCTCTGGACTATAGAAACTATAGTATCTGGATTATACAGACTATAGTATCTGGTCTATGGAGACTATAGTCTCAGAGTTATGCAATCTTTGGACTATAGAGAACATAGTCTCAAGGTTATAGACTCTGGACTATAGATACTATAGTCTCAATACTTTAGTTTCAACACTATTGATACTGTAGTCTCTGGACTATAGAGAACATAGTTTTTAGACTATAGAAACTATAGTATCTGGACTATGCAAACCGTAGTCTCTGCACTATGGAGACTATAGTCTCTGGACTGTGGAGACTATAATCTCTGAACTTTGGAGATTATAGTCTCTGGATTATGGAGACTATAGTCTCTGGACTATAGTATTTAGATTATAGAGACTATAATCTCTGGACTAGATATATTATAGTTCTTCGACTATAGAGACTATAGTTCCTGGGCTATAACGACTGTATTCTTTGGACTATAGAGAATTTAGTCTTTAGATTCTTTTTTTAGTATCTGGACTATATAAATTGTAATCTACTGTGTCTGGACTAAAGGAACTATAGTCTTTGGACTAAAGAAACTGTAATCTCTGAACTAAAGAGAAACTGTATTCTCTGGACTATAGAGACTATATTCTCAGAACTATAGGGACCATATTTTCTGGATTATAGCGACTATGGTCTCTGAATTATAGTCTCTGCACTATAGAGACTGTATTCTTGCACTATATAGACTTTAGTTTCTGGCCTGTAGGGACTATAATCATTGTAGAGACAATTGACGTTAGATACTTTATTCTCTGAACTATAGAAACTTTTGTCTCAGGTGAACTAATATCTCTGAACTATAGAGACTACTATTTCTGAACTATAGAGATTATATTCTCTGGACAATCGATACTATATATTCCAGACTATTGAGACTAAAGTCTCTTGACTATAGAGATATCCGTTTACGTACTAATGAGACTGTAATCTCTGGACTTTTGAAACTGTGGTCCCTGGCCTATAGAAACTAGAGTGCCTTTCTTTTAAGTTTTCAATTTTATCATATGATTCCATACCTTTCCACACCTGCCTTTGTATAATAGAAATTTCTGCAGTTAATATTTTTATTTGTTGTTTTTCATAGCCAAACAAGACCAAAATAAACAGACTCTCTTATAACTTGGTTAAGCTGGTAACCGAAAAGAGGAGTTTGACGTACACACACACACACACACACAAACATTCAACAATGAGTGAGCATATTTTGGCAAGCCAGCCAAAAAACACTACAGAAAAAAAAAGACACCTTAAGCATGCTTAGCAAATGCTGGCTTAAGTTAGTCATTTCTTAAACCTACTACAGGTATGTTCAGCACAATAAACGGAACGCGAACAACGTTAAAGTTAGTTTAAACTTTTTACAAAAGTATACACATTCTAAACGGGCAGGTGTAGAAGATAGTGGTATGCGCGCGCGCATCTTTCAATTAAGATAGACTTAAAATAAAAAGAACAAAAAAAAAACTTTAATAAGAAACGGGGAATTTTTAATTAGTAATAAAAAAAGTTTTAATTTGAGTTTAATTTGTAGACGATTGTGTGTGTGTGTGTGTTGTAAACAAAATGAAACGTCTTAAAAGTGTAGCTCGTATTAGTTTTGATTTACTAATATTCGCTGGCTTATGCTTATCGGAAGTGGCTTTGCGTAAATGGTTTAAGCCCTACAAACGTGGTTTCTTTTGCAACGATGAATCACTGCAGTATCCCTATCGAGAAAGTACCATTGGTACGGTGTTATTGGTGGCTATAGTTTTGGCTGTACCCTCTTCGGTTATGATAGTAGTGGAGTTATTTAAACAGCTTTCACCTACGCCCATTGAAAAAAGGAAGTCGTCACAACAGGCCAATACTAAAGTGGGCTGTCGTATTGGTGAACGTTTAATGCACTGTTATATGCAGATAGGTTATTATCTTTTTGGTTTGGCCTTGTGTTTGGTCTCTACCCATATTACCAAGTATACAGTGGGCCGTTTAAGGCCTCACTTTTTTGCTGTGTGTCAACCTCAACTACCGGATGGTTCTACTTGCAAGGATTCCTTTAACTTTGGCCGTTATATAGAGGTTTATGAGTGTGTGGGACAAAATCATACGGCTAATACTTTAGCCCAGCTGGGACAATCTTTTCCCAGTGGTCATGCCAGCATTTTCTTTTATAGCATGGTATATTTGGCCATTTATCTGCAGGCAGCTTTAAGCACTCGAGCCTCGAAATTGTTAAAACATTTGCTGCAATTTATATTCATTATGTTTGCCTGGTATGTGGCCTTGACACGCATTTCCGACTATTGGCATCATTGGTCCGATGTGGTGGCTGGCACTATTTTGGGTTCTTTAATTGCCTTTGTGGTGGCGGTATTTGTGGCTAGAATCTTTGTAAGAAAACCTATTAGAAGTAATGGCAATGTGGCACCTAAACCTCCTGCTAAACCGGCTGCCTCACCTACCAATTCATCTGCTAAATCAAATAATTCACCGCCCGTCTTGCCTGCCTATACCTTTGGTACTTTGCCCTACTTGCCGCATCCTCATGCTGCCACAGCGGCTGCTGTAGCTGCCGCTGCTGCCCAGCAACAGGCTCAATATGCCCAAACCTATCACAATTATGGCTACGTGCCTTAGACTTGCCACCAACAACAACAACAACTACAAATGCTTCATGATAATACTGGTAATGATGATCGTGATGATGACGCTGCTGCTGCTATTGCCTGCCGTTGTTGCTGATGTGAAAGTAGTCAAACGTGTGAGAGCCTTTTAACAAACAAAAAAAACAACATGTTGCATGCACCAAAAACATGTTAAGAATTAAAAATTTTTTCGTGCCTATTTTTGGTTGTTTGTTTTTTTTATTATTATTTTATATTATTTTTATTATTTTTTAAGTTTTAAATTAATCTTTAACGAAAAACTTGTCTTCACTTAGTTATAGTTAGTTAGTGTGTGCAACCAAATATAGCAAAAAAACAGCCACAAAATGCTGTACATATTTGTTGAAAACAAAAACTGTGTAATTTTGTAATTTGTGTGTGTGTGTATGTGCATTTTATATGCCTTCATTTTGTTATTAATTATTTTTTTTTTAAATAGTGCTGCCTGCCTGCTGTCCACCTTCAATATCTAAATGTTTTCTTGATTGCTCTGTCTCTTTGGTTTAGTATAGTCTGTATATAGTTTTGTAAGTTTTCGTTTGTTTTTTTCTCCACTTTTTGTAATAAAGTTTTACTTATTTGTAGCTCGTATGTAAGTTACAAAACACAGTGGAAGCTCTTAAAATGGGTTGGAATCCAAAAATGGAGTTATAGGTTTTGTTGGGATGGTGTAAGCCAAATGTTCAATTGGAAAATTAAATGTATTAGTAACCTAATGATTGAGTTAAGGTGGTTTAAATTGTAGTAATTTTCACAATTTGTTGTAGATTTGAAATAAGTTGTGTGTTGCCACAAAGCTCTGAAATGTTTTACCATCATCAGACTTAAAAAAGTCTCCAAAAGTTCTCCAAGTTCCGAAATAGTGATCAAAACTGTAAGCTTTTCAATAGGACCGCTCCCTAGGACGACTTAACGGAATTTCAATCTACGATCTATTAATTTTTAACTGCTCATTTCAAAGAGTAGATAGGAACTTCGATATCATTGTATTTCCTAACCTAATTACCCAAATGTCTTCATGAACAACTTTTAAAATTTTTCTTATTCAAAAATATTTCATTTAGTTGCAAACTACAAGAGAATTCTTCGTTCTCAATCAACTGGCTCAAAGGTAAACTGGACCATATGTATTTCGGGAAAGACTACATCACATTCGGTCAATGATTTGCTATATAATGACACTAAATACTAGACTGCGAAGTAACTTCATTCAAATACATTGATTTGTAGACAATGGGTTCCTTATTCTGAAATTATCGGCATTATGGTCGTTCTAAAATGAACAATTGAATCATTGGAGAGAAGTACCAATCGAAATATTTTTTCACAGTAAAGAGAGGTTCTAAATGGAACCCACTTAGTCTTATTGAAATTGTGGACATTCGAATCTTTACTTTGAAGAGATTTGTTTCTTTTTGCCAAGAATCAGATTTACGTTCAGACGGTACTTGGTTACTCTGGAAAGAACCTTAGGTAACCAGACACAATGAATTGTGGACAATTTGTCCAATCGAACATGAATATTCCGAAACTATCGGTATCTTGTTGGATCAAAAATTAATTTCGGTCGGGTGGTCGAAAATCGAACCCATTTAGACTCATTGAAATTGTGGTTAATAGAATCTTTACTTTGAAGAGTTTTGCGACTCTCTATGCCAAGAATTGAAAGTTCAGAAGTATGTCAGTTCAGCCGGTACTTGGTTACTCTGGAATTGTGGACAATTTGTCCAATTGAAATATGGTTTCACTGGACAGAACCTTTCATAACTCATACTTAATGATTTGTGAACATTTGATACTTTGTTGGTTGAAAGATTTAGATCTCACTTGTTCATTGAGTGTCCACTCCGGGAGAGATGTATCAAGCAGAATATGAATACACATTGAAATACTACAGTTGACTGATTTTTGAAAAATAAGATCTTTATTCCGAAACTATCGGTGTCTTGCTCGATCAAAAATTAATTAGTCCGATCGAGGGGTTGAAAATAGAACCCAAATAGACTCATTGAAATTGTGATTAATGGAATCTTTACTTTGAAGAGTTTTGCGACTCTCTTTGCCAAGAACTGAAAGTTCAGATGTACATATGTAAGTTCAGCCGTTACTTGGTTCTTTTGAAATGAATCTTCCACAGCTCAGACTGAATGAATTGTGGCCAATTTGACCTTCTGAACATGAAAGATCTTCAGCGCACTTGCCGATTTTCCACTTAGTGAGGGATATATCAACCGAAGTTGTGTTGAGCTGAAAAGAACCTTTGACAACTCAGACTCAATGAATTGTGGAAAATTGGTTCTTTGCAGTGAGAAAGATCTTCATTTGGTTGGCTCAGATGTATCATTCTGATCTTTCAATCCTAATTTGCACTGAATTTTTGTAAACAATTGGATCATAAATGTTTTGAGTGTATTTTAAAATGAAAAGAACTTTGTCACAACCTCTAAAGACCAATTCGTCTGATATTTAGAACAAAAAGATAATGTTTTCGAATCACCAATAAAAATTTTAATCTCAAAAACTAAAGAAGTCCTAGTTGTCTTAATATTTTTAAGGAAAACTAAAGTCTCCTATACGCTATACAAATATAAGAATTACCTTCGAAGGTTTAGATTCTTCAATGACGCTCGTAATTCAAGGGAACTGGTAGGCTGGAAAGTGTAAGGTTTAATACAACACAACTTCCCCTTAAAGTTCTTGATCAGATGAAATTTTATGGAACTAATAGGTTGAAAAGTGAACTAGTATAGTGAACTTTAATGCAAAGCAAAACCGTTTGATCTTTAAACGTGATCTGAAAAGCGAAATCTTGATCAAATAGCTAAGGGTTCTTCAGTAAACTCGATCGTTCAGAATATATTCTGTAGATTTAAAAAAATTCATTTGAATTTTTCTTCCTACGGATCACAACTTTCGACTCAAAGACGAGAAAACGGGAAATCATGTATATTAAAAACGACAGCAGAGAGATAGTGTTAGTGTAGATAAATCGATCATTTCTTAATGATATTTTCATTAATTTGATTGGAATTTTGTGGAAAAGATATTGAAGCTTCTTTTTCTAATAAATCATGTGGTAATGCCTGCAGCCAAAATATTTATAGAATCTGGCAGCATCAAATGAGATCAACAAGATCGCAAGCTTCACTTCTGGTCTTATTAATGAGCTCTTCATAAATGGAATTGAAATTTTAAAGGAAAAAGATATTAAAGCTTCTTATTCTACTAAAATATTTGGTAACGGCCTTAGCAAAGCATTTCATTTCAAGAATATTTATAGAATCTTGCAGGATCATATGAGATCAACAAGATCGCAAGCCTTACTTAAGCAAATTCTAAGCTTTTTGAGGTTAATAGGGTGCCAAACTTTAAAAGTAGTCACAAATTGAGTTAAGTCTAATAGCAAAAAATTTGAACTTTTTTTTTTATAAGTAACAGATCAACTGATCTAAGTCATGGAGTTAAAAATGACAAAAATTTTCTTTCTAATTTAATTATTCATTTTTAAATTTCAACCCACTTTAAAAGCTTCCACTGTATCCGTATAATAATATTATTATTTTGTTGCAATATAATTTTACACATATACATATTAAATATATTTTATAATTTATTTAAAAAATTTTTTTTAGTTAAAATTCTTAAGCAAAAATGTGAACTCTTATTGGTAGTTAAAATTTACATAAATAAATTATATTAAAAAAATGTTTATAATAATCTTAAGACTGGATTTAAAAAATTAAAAAAAAAACAAGAAAAAAAAAATACTAAAAAAAATTTTGTTTTATTATTTATACAATGCTATATGGGGTTTTTCTTAAAAGCGGTAAAACAAGAACCTGCTCTCAACGGATTTGTCTGACCAGTCAAATCGTAACTAAATAAGTTGAAAGAATTTGTAGTTTTAGTGAGTGTGTGGTAAATGACGCCCGTATTAATCGATGCAAAAATATGTAAGTCCAAATATGTTAAGAATGTTAAAGATATTGAACAAGAAAAACGAAACGTCAAACAGATATTGCAGAATAAATTACAAGTTTGGCGACTTTATCGTAATTAATTATCGCGCAATGGGTTTGGTTTCTTTCGTGGCATTGTATTGCAAAGTTGTTGCCTTCGCAAAGAAAGAGAAATAATCATGATATCTGGTTAAAAGGGACTGCAGCATAAATATGCTTATAAGACAAAGTTTTTGGTATTCTTTGGCAGTTAAATGCGGGTAAATAGGTCACATAAATCAAGAAAGTCAGATTTATAAAAGGAAATTAAGTATATTTGAAGACTAGTATCTATCATATTAAACTAGTATTCAACTACTAAAGATCTTTAATTAGAACGATCAGTATTGCACTTCATTACCTTCTAAAACTTGTTAAACTGGATCTCCCATAAAATTTAAAGTGTCATCAAACTTTTCACCAAAATACCAGTAAATTCCAAAAATTATGCATCACCATTCCAATTCTAAACAAAATCACTCTAATCGTTATTTCAAATATTTAAACAAATGATTAGTGGCTCAAATGATCAATAAAAATTTCCAACAAAAGTAAACAATTTACGTTGCATGATCACGTTTTTTTTCAAATACAAAATGAATTTAAATCTCAGTTTGATAATTGTTTGCATAAACAAAGTTATTTATTGAAGTATTTTTTATTAAACTATTGCATTAACAATGGATATGCATATCATTAAAGCTTTGTATTTGAATGATCTTTAATAAAAATAAACTGAAATGAATTTAGTTTGGGCACTCAGTTTAAAATCTCAGACTAGACTATCTATAGTCTAGAAATACAGTCTATAGTCTAGTCTATAGTCTAGTCTATAGTCTAGTCTATAGTCTAGTCTATAGTATAGTCTATAGTCTAGTCTATAGTCTAGTCTATAGTCTAGTCTATAGTCTAGTCTAGTCTATAGTCTAGTCTATAGTCTAGTCTATAGTCTAGTCTATAGTCTAGTCTATAGTCTAGTCTATAGTCTAGTTTATAGTCTAGTCTATAGTCTAGTCAATAGTCTAGTCTATAGTCTAGTCTATAGTCTAGTCTATAGTCTAGTCTATAGTCTAGTCTATAGTCTAGTCTATAGTCTAGTCTATAGTCTAGTCTATAGTCTAGTCTATAGTCTAGTCTATAGTCTAGTCTATAGTCTAGTCTATAGTCTAGTCTATAGTCTAGTCTATAGTCTAGTCTATAGTCTAGTCTATAGTCTAGTCTATAGTCTAGTCTATAGTCTAGTCTAGTCTATAGTCTAGTCTAGTCTATAGTCTAGTCTATAGTCTAGTCTATAGTCTAGTCTATAGTCTAATCTATAGTCTATTCTATAGTCTAGTCTATAATCTAGTCTTTAATCTAGTCTATAGTCTAGTCTAGAGTCTAGTCTATAGTCTAGTCTTTAGTCTAGTCTATAGTCTAGTCTATAGTCTAGTCTAAAGTCTAGTCTAAAGTCTAGTCTATAGTCTAGTCTATAGTCTAGTCTATAGTCTAGTCTATAGTCTAGTCTATAGTCTAGTCTATAGTCTAGTCTATAGTCTTGTCTATAGTCTAGCCTATAGTCTAGTCTATAGTCTAGTCTATAGTCTAGTCTATAGTTTAGTCTATAGTTTAGTCTATAGTCTAGTCTATAGTCTAGTCTATAGTCTAGTCTGTAGTCTAGTCTATAGTCTAGTCTATAGTCTAGTCTATAGTCTAGTCTATAGTCTAGTCTATAGTCTAGTCTATAGTCTAGTCTATAGTCTAGTCTATAGTCTAGTCTATAGTCTAGTCTAGTCTAGTCTATAGTCTAGTCTAGTCTATAGTCTAGTCCATACTGTAGTCTATACTATAGTCTATAGTCTAGTCTATAGACTAGTCTATTGTCTAGTCTATAGTCAAGTCTATAGTATAGTCTATAGTCAAGTCTATAGTCTAGTCTATAGTCTAGTCTATAAGTCTAGTCGTTAGACTAGTCTATAGTCTAGTCCGTAGGCTAGTCTATAGTCTAGTCTATAGTCTAGTCTATAGTCTAGTCTATATTCTAGTCTATAGTCTAGTCCATAGTCAAGTCTATAGTCTAGTCTATAGTCTAGTCTATATTCAAGTCTATAGTGTAGTCTATAGTATAGTCTATACTCTAGTCTATAGTCTAGTCTGTAGTCTAGTCTATAGCCTATTCCGTTGTCTAGTCTGTAGTCCAGACTATAGTCCAGTCTATAGTCTGGTATATAGTTTAGTCTATAGTTTAGTCTATAGTGTAGTCTATAGTCAAGTCTGTAGAGTAGTGTACAGTGTAGTAGTA